AGAGCACCAAATTTAGAGCTATCCATGATGTTTCTTGTAGTTATCCCCTCTCCTCCAAATTTACGAATGCAATCATGTTGATAATGGTAAGGAGTGCACATGGATTTAAGTCTTTATTTTCCTTTAAGCCTTAGCATAAAGTGCTCCTAAAAACATATTCCATTTATAAAAAAAAAATGAGTATACATGCACGCACAATCTCTACCTATGCCAAAGCATTTTCTTTATTATAATGAGATGCATCTTTCTGGATTTTCTGCACAATCAGACTGTAATTAAGCATAGCAAGATGCAGGTAAGTGCATGAGATGCATGTTTAATTAAAAGAGAAAATGCTGGTTAAGTATCAATTTGTATGACATTCAATTTACAAGGAGGATTCAGAAAGCTACTCTCTCTCTCATATATTTCCTTTTTATATGAGTGTGTGTATTTACACACATGTATGTTTTCATACTGAAATCATATTCTCATTTCATATGCTAGGGTTGCTGCCACATGTACTGCCCCCATCCAAGAAAATGTTGATATATGTTGAAAATTTCCATGAAAAATAAAATGCTTGCATAAATTTATGTAGGGCAAATAAAAAAAGCAGCCAGGACCCAGCAGGCTGAGTCAATGTATAGCTTGCATATGGAAACAATGACATGATTGTTTACTCCCTGGTTTAATGATATTCACTTTCTCCTAATGGCAACGTGGAAAATGTGAGTACCAGATGCTGCGCCCAGAGCAGAGAAGAGAGAACAGGGAAAGGTCTAGAGTAAGGAATTTATCCTGACACCAGAATGTAGTGTAACTCTTCAGTTTATTAACGCTGTGTGTGTATGTGCTTTTTGTTTTTTTTGGTGGAAAAAATACTTTGATGTCTGCAGCTTAAATTTCCATATTTTTATAACAGTTCAGCAACAAATTTACATATTTCCTGGAATCTGCAGATATAAAAGCGGTAAAACACTCCAGGCATTATTAGATAGTAGATTATAACCCATTACTATTGTTTCAATTAGCAATGTAAAAGTGACCTGCAGTGTTCAGATGACCCACTAATGGATTTAAACGCTTTCAAATATTAATGCAGGTTTTCTAAAGATGAATCCCAAACCCATTATTCCTGGAACAACTATGAGCTGAAAAGCTGGCAATGATTGTGCATTATGTGGAAAGGCTCATGGTTAATTAAATGAATACCTAGCATTACACTATTCACTTTAGTGCTACAAAATTATTTCTCATTGATTTTTACATTCTGAGTCCATGATTCAATTTACTTCTGCAATTTGTGTTGCCGTGTCAATAAAAGAGAACTGCTTGAAGATGGAAGCATTAGAGACTGATAAATACATTAAGATCCAATGAAAACTGCAGTTTTTCCTATTGTTTTCCTCTATTGAAATATCATTTGTAGCAGCACTTTGTTATGTATTATTAATACAATTTTTGTTTGCTTCCATCTGCTCCCTTCTCCCCTTTTCTGTTCAGGAACTGGAATGTTAGCAATTGCTTGAGGGTGAGTAGCTAATTTTTCAGTAACAAGTTCTCTCACTATCAAGAACAAAAGCACCATCAACACAAATCTGTTATTTCATGTTAAATGAACTAGAAGGCCAGATTCTTCATCAAAGACAGGGTGGGGAGTTCCTGTGTATGTTTTAATTTCAAGGAGTAAATGACACTCCTGTTTATTAAACCATGAAAACTAAAAAATGACAAACAGGTCCAACCCCATTATCCTATTTATGCTCTCCAGATAGAATTTAGCATATTAATGAAGGACCCACTTTGTCTCAAAATTGCATTATACATTTTACTGTTGAATTTGCCTGTGCCTTTTTTCTTTGCAAACTCCTTGACTCAAGTTTTAAGTTGTAAATTGAGATTTTTTCCCTAACACCTTTCTTGACTCCAAAATGGTATAAACTTCAACTTTCTAGTTTTGATGTCAAAAGAAACCTTTCATGTGATTTAGACTCAGAGTCCAGGAGGTGTTTGGTATACACTGTAAATTTAGTCTTTCCTGAGAAAAGTAGGTTTGCTAGTCAAATGTAACCATGAGTGTCTTTTACCTAGTATTACCTTGTTGGCATTGAAGATACCCAAAACATTGTCTCCATGAATATTGTCAGTAGATCACTTCTCACCTTATGTTTGAATTTGCCCTTAGCCACAATGGATAATAGAATCTCAATAAAATAGTGTGTTCATTCTCCAAGGAGTCATTGCTTGGGCCCTTTCTTCAAAATCCTTCTTCAAGCCATTACTTTTCATATTGAACTGAGTTGCCATTTTGAATTTAACCAGTGATATGATATAGATCATACAGCATAAAACGTATCAAAAATCATTTCACAAGTAGTCTTAAATTTTTGTTTGGTGTGTTATAACTATACATATACAATTATTGTTACAAATTCATACATGCACACAATATATCCATATAATTTGGTCAAATTTGTTCCCCAGATCATCCTATAGACCTAGATGATAATTTTAAAAAGAATACAAATGACCTACATATACAAGTTTATATATAACCTCCCTATTAATATATAACTGCTCTTGATTGACAAATGTCAATTTAAAGCAATTAGTTCTGTTTTGTCTATCAAGTTGTCAAAGATGAGAGGAAAGCATCATATTTAATATTGGCGAGGGGAAATGAAACCTGCATGGATATACTTGTGCTTTTGTGGAATGGGCAACTATGTGACTTTTCTAAAGGTGATTTGAACATATGTGTTTTTAAATTTTGAAGGTTTCACATGCCCTTGCACAAAACTGAAATTCTACTTTTGAAACTTAAGCTTAAGAAATAATTATGAAAAAAATTAGCTATATTAACTGTTCATACAGACCTGATGGTATCATTTGTAAGAAGAAAAAAAATTTGGAAGCCTCCTAAATGACTGAAATGAGGAATTAGCTAATAATTTATGGTGCATTAGTAGAATTAAGTATTATTCAACGATTTAAAACAGTTTACAATAATATTTAATGATATGGAAAGACATTTACAATATATTGTAGATTGAATAAGATACAGCTCTCTATCTCACACATACTCATGCACATTCTCACTAGTGACCAGACTGTATAATGTATACTATGACCTCCAATTTGGTGTTTAATGTTAGGATAATTTCTGAGATATCTCACTGGATTAGATTTATATTTTTGGATTTTTTTTCAAACAAAATGACTCACATTCACTGTTGGGCAACTTAAAATGCTTTGAAACAAAAACTATATATCTGTAAATTCACATGTAGATACATAGGAAGAAGGGTTAGACTAGAAGAATTTATATAAAATGCTAACTGATTTTTAAGCAACATGTTATAAGTTATTCTTTTCTTGTATTTTTTAACTTCTATTTTTTGGGGGGGTTGGTACTAGAGGTTGAACTCAGGGGCACTCAACCACATCCTCGGCCCTATTTTGTATTTTATTTAGAGACAGAGTCTCTCTGAGTTGCTTAGCACCTTGCTTTTGCTGAGGCTGGTTTTGAACTTGCTATCCTCCTGCTGAAGTTGGCTTTGAACTCTTGATCCTCCTGCCTCAGCCTCCGGAGCTGCTGGGATTACAGATGTGCACCACACAGCAGCACCTAGCTTTAACTTGTATTTTTAAATAGTTCTACAAATAATATAGGTAACATGTTTAGTAGTTAAAATTTGATTGCAAATTGTTTTAAAGTTACCCTACATGGAAACCAAGTAGATGGGAAGCTGGAACAATTTGTAAAAAACACAGGAAAAAAAATAATTGATTTACGTATCCAAATACCTAGATTAGATCTAGTTTCTAGCTGGGGGTCCCTGGGCAACTCACTGAGTGTCTTCAATTTCTTCAGCAGGAAATGTCAAATGAGAATAGAAAATGCCTGACCTATTTGCGCCTGAATATTGAGATATAGCAACTTCTGAGAGCTGGAAATGCTCTTAAACATCACCAGTTCCTCAGTCCTGCTTCAGTTCATTACTTCCTTCACATTCCAAGTCGAACACACTTAAGATCTACTATGACTTTTACCTTATGACATTTGCTTCAAAGAATTTTTTGTCATTATAATGATATATATCTTTTTAGAAGATAGCAGAACAATAAGTAATAAAACTATGGTTATCACACTTCACTCCCAATAATCAGTACAATGTCACTCTTGGATTTGTGGCCTTTGCCTGAGCAGGGCCTAGTTTTGCTCATCACCCTATATACCTGGATAGCAGTAACTAGTAGGTTTATATGGTCAAATGAATCAGTGCAACATACCCAAAGGAGCAATTCAAAATGTATGCACTGCATTTTAATGAGTATTTATTTATCTCAATTGGCAATAAAAATTGAAACAAGTAACTAATATATGATTATAAAATGCTTTGCTAATATTGAGTACCTTAATAAAAATGGTGTAATGTCAGAGAAGAGAGTTGCTGTTTGGAGGATGCCAAGGGCATCCCATTGGGCAACTGGCTAGAAATTAACTCTTTCCTTTGTCTTTTCTAACAGGGCAGGTGAAAGTTTCAGGGCTGGGAACTGGCTACTGGCTTGTGCCCCCAAGGCAGTGCCTTTTGATGGGCTGCTAGCTGGTAAAGATGGCCAGAAGTAGGACTTTGAGCTACAGGTGACACTCTTTCTTAGGTCGTTGGAAAAGGAGATTTCCTTTAAAAAAAGTTTTTTTATGATAGAATTTTCTAGTATCCTGATAGTACTACAGTAGTCACTGTGGCTATAAGTAGATTCTAAAGATGAATATGCTTCTGAAATAAGGTTGGTTCATGCTTGTTCTCAGGTCAGTACATTTACTGGAGAGCAAACCTTAGGCTCTTAGTACCTCAGTATGCTCATCTTCAAAATGGGACTAATCACAATATATAAATCAAATGCTGTTGGGAGGAAGAAATGAGTTAATACACAGAGAGCATGTTAAGCAGGGGAAGCATGGAGCAAGCTTGCAAAAATTAGTTCCCACTTCTATGACTACTGCTCTACCTCTTTCTTCCTAGGAAGGAGTTGAATGGTTTTTCAAGAGACAGTTTGAGATGAGACAGAATAAAGTATAATCTCCACAAAGTAAGTGTCACAATTTTGACTAAAATTCCTTTATAATAAGGTCCTTCATTCTTGGTAGGCACAATCATGGCTACATGCATGTTCAGAAAGCAACCTTAAGGATAGGATGTCCCAGATGTTCACCTTAGCTTAATCTTCCATCACAGGGGAAGAGGAATTGCTGAGCATTACCCTGCTGGATGCTAGGATTAAACCTAGTTCTGTCCCCTATGATCCCAGACTTTCTCTACTGGATCAGTATTTTTTAATAGCCTAGAATATACTATCTTTAAATTAAACAAACAACAAACAAAACCCTAAAACACTACTGTACTATTTAGTATTGGGGGAATCATAAGAGGCACATTTCTCACAGCATTGTATTTTATAAATTTATCTTATATGTTAGACAACACACATGCACACGCACATGATCCAGAGCTTACACATACATTTTTTTATAGGAAAGTTCAAACTCTCACGTGTAACTGCTTTTTCAGTAGTATTTTGCAGAAGAATAACCAGGATGATGGTCTAGGTGGTCTGCAAGGCTGGTATCAAGGCACGGCCAAGTGTATGGCAGGTGTGTTCTTCCTTGTTCTAGAAAGCACTGATGGAGAATCTCATTGTTGTGACATGAAAAGAACACTTAATTAGAGCATATATCTCTCATTTATTTTGGAAATAACCTACAGGACACAGTGCAAAAAGTGTGTCATTCCTGGTTTTGTAGAATGGAGTATTATTAGTAGATGGATTTTATTCTAAAGGACAGTGCCAAGAATATTTTCTCCAAATTAACAGGAAATGTGGCATTCTTCAGATTTGGCTGAAATTTACATAGCATTAATTTTGTTTCTGTTTTTTGCCTAGACTACCTTTACTTGAGCCTTTACTTTTATTGAGTCACAAGCAGATAATAAGATATAAATATAGAAATAACTACAATATACATAACTAGGAAGAAATAGGTAAATTAAAATAGGGTGGAATGAATAAAAGAGCATTTCATAATGAAATAGACAAGGAACATATTTTAAACTTACATTTTTTCTAAACATTTTCATAAATTTTATAGTTATATTTATTTTACTTAAAGTTGCCTAAGATTAACTTATATCAAGAGAAAAATATATCCTCTGTACTAAACCATAAAAGCTATAAAATCTAATTAGATAGTGGAAATTCAATAGAAATTATTATAGCCATAAAGAATTAGAACACAATAAATAGTATAGATTTTAGGAAATTTATTATCTAAGGTAGATAGTGCATACATTATTAAGCTATGAGGAAGTCATCTAGAGAAATATTTATTCAGAAGTGAAGTAAGTGAGGCTGCCAAAGATTATTAAGGTCACCATAAAGACATTAAACCAAGGAGAGAGAGGAGAAAGATTCTGAAAATAGAATCAATGGAATGCTTAGGCCAGAAATCCACAAAGCACAGAATATGCCTTTGTCAAGACCCATTGCATAAAAAAATATTTTTTGAGTATTTTATAAATAGCTTCATTTTTCAAAAGCAATGGGAAGTACATTTTACATAATATGATCAGAAAAGGAAAACTACATTTTGTGCAAAGCTTGATGTGAATTCATTTTCTTTGTTATGGCTTAACTAGCCCCAGCTTCTCACCTCTAATCATAACAGACTCCTTCTGGTTTAATTATGTTTCAAGTTCTGAAGATGAGTTAACCACTTACACAGGGAATTTGACTTGCATTGATCAAGGGGGGAAAAAGAGAGAGAGGGAGAAAAAAGATGTCTATGTCCTAATTAACCATTTAACTGACCACCACCTTAGCATCTTAAGATGGTTCTCTTTCAGGCAACAGAATGAAGCACCCAGCTTGTAAACAGGATGCTAGAGGACCTGCTCAGACGGCACAAAACAACTGCAAATGGTATTATAAATTAGTTCTTCATTTAATACACCGAAGAAAGACTGAGTCCTGCAAGAGAGAGGTCTTTCATGCCACTCAGGGACGATGTACCTTTAGAGACAATGATGGAGAAACCTGCTAGAAATAACAGGACAGTTTAACTGGAAAGTTCTCTGTGCATTCATATCCTTTCATCCAGCTAGAAAAATAAATTCTTTAGCTTACCCTTGCAACTTTAATTGCAAGGCTGATTATATCAAGGAAGAGCAAACATGAGATTAGTTCTGAAAATATGTAATTTACTTTGGCAATCAAATAACAACAAAACTATTGAAAATACAGCATCTTTTTCACTTATATACTGAACATGTGTTTTTAACATTTCTTGAAATATTTGTTTGCTATATTCTTTCATAGTATAATGTTTTCTAAATAAGTAGTAGTTGTAAATCTAAACTTTTATTTGGTCTAAATATCAAGGGTAGTACAGGGGCTACTGAATCTTAGGTTGTGTTTTATGACGTTTCTTCCTACTTTGAGACCATGGGAATGGTACCCAGTATCATTGCCTTTTTTACATTCTAGATACTTTTCTAGGAGCAATGATGTATCAGCATGAAAGAGCTCACTATTGGATCATCAATTTTCAGAACTGTAAATTTTGTCGTTATCTTGAATTAGCTCTAGAGAATTAACTGATATCTATTCTCAATACCCATTCCTCAGTATAAGATTTCCAGAATATGGTTTCCTATTTTCAAGTTCCCAGTGTTCAGAGAGAAAACAACTCTCTATTATCAATACTCTGACATACCCGTAATATAACCAAACTAAAGTTCCTTTCTTTCAGATGAAAAAGGCTGAAGATGGAGGGTTTTAAAACAAGAAAGGACAACAAAATGATAACACCATGTTCCTTAAAGGAATCACTCATGTTTAAAGCTGAGATTGAGCTGAAATTCATGGTCGATAAGAAAAACTGAAAGTAGTGGACTCTACTGGATCTTGCCTTCATTGGAGCTTACTACAGTGTGTCCAACGTAATAAATTCACAATTCTCTATGTTAAATTCTTTCATACAATAGAAGCTTATAAAAAGGAATATAGACTAAAGAGTAAGTTGCATAATGAGATTTAATCTATGTAAAATATGTCCCAGAAGAAATGTCCTTTACTTTGATCATATCCCTTGAAACAAGATCCCCTGCTGAAAACCACAATAAAATGGGAGCTTGGGAAAAAGCTCCTCTGGTGAGCAAGCTTGCTTTTAATATTAAAAGTTCACCCAGCCCACCAAGTCCATGATCCTGGGGTGGGCTTAATTAATGTCAATGAAATCTCGAAAGTTCCCTGAGGCTTAAAGGGGAAATAAATCTGTCTGGGTTCTCCATGCCTTCCTCTCTGAGGTACTTTATTTTGGAGCCTCACACACACAAGACACGTGCATACATCACACACAAACACGTACATGCACACACATGTGGGTGCACACGCACACAGGTATCTGTTTCATCATGAAGCGTTCTCTTTCAATATTTTACTTATTCAGAGGAGGCTTCCACATCACTTTATCATCACTCTCCACTTAGATCCAGAGTGTTGGCCGTGACACTGCCTCTTGTCATCAGAAGGACGTAGCCTACCTCTCTAAGTGGACAGAGTAACATTTCAGTCTTGCTTTGGGGTTCTGTCACTGACTCATTTTTAATCATGAATGTACTGTGCCATTCTGTCAAGCTCAACTGAAAAAAAAATAACTGAATAGAATCTCCAGTTATTTTTCATTAAAATTTAATTCCATGTTAAATAGTTCCTCATTGAATTGAAAGGGTTTTTTTTTTTTTTTTTTCCCCTCCAAGTGTGCACTCCATTTCATTTTATTCAGAGTCAATGAGATTCTGGGCCTGATTACATATCCTTCTACTAGAAACAAATTAATATAAATGCCAATAAAATGTTTAATTTTATTTTATATTGGCTATGTATAAAGAGACTTACCAAGCAGGGGCTCACAAATCACAACATGTAGAACCTGCACGAAGAAAGGGGAGAGTAGAGATGAGCTTTCATTAATATCTGAATATCCAGTTAATGCCAATTCACTGGCCTGGAAGTGAATTCTACCCTGTAAATAACAGCATCACGGTGCACACACACACACACACACACACACACACATAAATATACAAGTTTCAGAACCATTGGGCTCCTGATCCACACCCAGGGATACACTCACACTCACTCCCCACACATTCCTTGAAAAAAATGACAATTTTGTGAGAATTCCATTCCAGTTGTTCTTATCCTACCTCTCCAATCATGCCAGCCACATTATTTGAGCCACTGAGTAACTTTAAAAGTTTTGTAATGCAGACTTCAATTTTCTAAAGATCTCAGAAATGTACAAGTGGTCTTAACAAATATGGTGTGACTGCCGTGTGGTTTTGTGTTGCGTTTGTAGTTTCTAAGACACTCTAACATTATTTAATTAGCTAAAATTTCTCCTCTCTTGAGAAATGGAAACTCAATGAAATGTCAACAATGCTGTCAATCTGCTTCAGGCTAAACTCATTACACAGAAACTAAAGGTAAAAATAGTCCAAGGCAGAATTCTTTGTTATAATTTTGAGGCCCACACCTTATGTCAATGAAATCCATACACAATTCTATGAAAACGCTAAATTGGGAAGAGTAGCTAATAAATTATCTCAACAGAGGCAATAATTGATCGGTCTTTGCATAGAAATTTATCTAATTAGTCAAATAACATACCAAGTTGTGTCGGAGACTGAGTCCTACATTTATTGTTTGATGAACCTCTGCTTTCTCAGTTCTGTTATATGGCCAAAAAATGTTCTGTCTGTTCTTTATTCCTAAAATGAATCTTTTTTTCTCTCAAGAAAGAAAAAAAATGTTGTCTTTTTAAGCCAAGCATAGCCAAGGACCGAACAGAAAAGCCTAACTTTATCTAAATTATCATGGAAGGTTGGAATCCATAGGCTCATTACCAAGGATAATAAAATCTGGCATTTTCTATTGTCTGAGGGTTTATAAAGGCTAAATTTCTTGATTTATTTAAATAGATGATAGGAAAGAGCAAACTACAAAAACAAGTGCTATATACTGAAGGCATGTGAATTACCTCCTTCCCAAGGATAATGCAAATTAGAAGTACGTAAAGCTTTGTCTGCACCTGGGATCTTTAATGAGGATAAAGAAAAATCAGACAGAGATTCTCCTGGGGAAAGAGAGGATCGTTATTTGAATAACCTGCAGTGAATTCTAATCAATGCGACGTGACTTTGAAAATGAATGTGGTCTTTCAACCCGCTGTACTTGAGCTGTAATATTAATCATAACTTCATGGTACAGTAAAGCTTATGACAAATGCTTATCCAGTGGACTCAGAAAAAGACTGGCTTGGGTGTGCCAAGGAAATCTAAAGCCATGGAAATACAAAGGCTCTTCTTCCTTTTTCCTCCATGCCAGCCCATTTATTGGCTAGTGTCTTCTGTTATCTTTCTTTGATTATCTCAAAAGAGGTGGATGCAAATTGCATGTCATAACTGTAATTGTTTTCCTTTTTTCAAAGGTGACATTTTACACGTAGCTTATTTCCTGACACAGTCTTAGGAGTGTTATTTAACATTAAATTATACCAGGAAACTGGTGTGCCAATCTGCTAAGGATGCATTAAGCAGCACAGCAAACCTCTGGAACACAGGAGGGAATTTTAGCTCTGCCCCATTAGAGCCCTAAATTCTTTATAAGTGCATCCTGGACCTGAAGAAGGTTGAGTATAAACATAGCAGGTTTCCTGGTATGCTAGATAGAAAAGTGATGCTGACTTAAATAACAATTTTCCAAAAAAAAAAAAATCAGTTATCAAGTGTTTTCTGGCTTAAAAGAAAACGTAATTAATTTTTTGACAAGTTAAAAGGTTTATGGCAGAACACAATGCGCTAAAGCTAGACTCTCAAGAATCACATGAGGAAGGAAGATCATAATAAAATAAACATCTTAAAATAATTTAGGTAATTTTTGGTATGAAAGTAATTTCAGGAAAGTAAGAGGAGTGCATATATACAGCGAGTGATGGAAATAACATTTAGGAATCAGAGCTGTCATTCTGGTCATTGTTCTTGCTATAATGTTCAGATGTGAACTGAAAATGGTGTGACTCAGACGTGCTGATGGAGGTGCATTGCTTTGTGAAGCGGCTTTCTTCATAAGACAGAACAGAAGTTGATTCTTCAAATGTATATTCTCACAATAGAGTGGTTTCTAGGGTTCAGGTATGAAGTGAAGGGAATGCTAGGTGACATTATCTAACTTGAGGACAACCAAAGTAGACAGATGGGCTCCAAACTTACTGTTGCTTAATAGAATTTAAAAACTGTTAAGTCCTATGAGATGTCACATATTTCATCTCTTGTTTCAATGTTGCAGTCCTCACAGACACACAAATGGAATATATATTGAATATAAATGGAATGTATGTGGCATGTGCACATATACACAAACACATAAATATGTATAAAATAAATGTGGAATATATATGAAATTATGTATATAGGTATGGAATGTACAAATTCACAGATATGCATGTAGACACAAAATAGATAAATAGAAAGGTCACTGAATTGAAGGTACAATTCATCAAATCATGGTCCTCATATATAGCCATTAAGTTATATTTTTAACTGTCATTTTAATGATATTTTACTGATAGTTTTATTCCTAGCCAAAATTATTACTTAGGAAGCATTACAACTTGTTTTACATGTGATTTGAACTTCTAACCCCATCACTGATAATGTCCAAGATATTTTGGTTCTTGCAATGTGTTTCTAAAGAAGATACTAAATGAGGTGCATGCTACTTTTATCCTCATTTTAGAGATGAAATTTTAGGTTTGTTTTATTTAACTTATATAGCAACTTGATTAGACTATGAGTGCCCACTTATTTGATTAAGTGTTACTTCTAGGTGCATGTTTAAGGGTGTTTCTGAATTAACATTTGAATCAGTAGACTGAATAAAGCAGATTGCCCTCTCTAATATGGGTATGTGTCTCCTTCAGTTTTCTACTGCCATAAGAGAATATCACAGGTTGGGTAATTTGTAAAGAACAAATGTTTACTCAGCTCAGACTTTTGGACCTGGGAGGTTCAAGGAGAAGAGACTGCATCTTTTGAAGACCTTCTTGCTGGTGGAGACTCTCTGCAGCACAGGGCATCACATGACAAGAAAGGCAAACTGGCTTTAAAAACTGACCCATCCTCAAGATAATCCATGATTCCATTAATCCATGATTCCATGAATGGGCTAATCCATTCATGAGGGGTAAAGTTCTCCAGAACCAATCACTTCTTAAAGGTCCCACTTCATTCTTAATATTTCACAATGGGAATAAAATTTAACATGAGCTTTCCTAGGAATATTTGAATCATATTTTATTTAGATCTTATGGGATCTAAATAAAACAAAATAAGAGGAAAAGAGAATTTTTCTCTCTTTTTACCTAACATCTTGAGCTGGAGCATTGGTCTTTTCCTGACCTTGAATTGAAACTTACATGTTGGCCCTCTTGGTTCTCTGGCCTTTGGATTCAGACAAGAACAATACCACTAGTTCTCCTGGGTTTCCAGATATACCTGTGTGTGGGCATGCAGTGTGTGTGTTTTTGTGCACATTCTATGGGGTTTTTTTCTCTAGAGAACTCTAACATAAGGGTCTTAGGAATGTTGTGTTACTTTCTCAATTTATTTCAAGTTGTAAATTGCAGAACCAAAAATGAAATCCACAGTTCTAATAGTATCCATTTGTGCTTTTTGAAAAACAAATTTAATGAGTTATAATTTACATGCTACCAAATTCATGCATTTTAAGTACACAATTTAGTGATTACTAGTAAATTTACTTAGTTGTCTAACCACCACCCTAATCCAGTTTTAGAACATTGTTATCTCCCCAGTAAGATACCTCATGTCCGTTTATAGTTAATCTCTGTCTCTACACTTACCCTAGGCAACCACTAATCTATTTTTCTCTCCATAGGTTTACCTTTTCTGGACATTTCATGTAAATGGAATCATACAATATGAGGTCCTTTGTGTCTGTTTTTTTCCCACTTAGCATGTTTTTGAGGTTCATCGTTGTGCTTCTTTTAATGCATTTATTTACTGTTTACTCACTGTTTCTGCTCTATTTTGAGCCATTTATATTTTTATCTCCATTTAGGAAGGAAAGCAAAGAAATACACTGCCGCATAAAGGAAAGAACCCTGGGATTGAGATGAACAAGTTCTAAGGTTGGATCCCATGAGCAAGGCAATTCTCTATCTCAACTACCTCACCTACCTCTTAACTTGTAAAATCTTACTTATTGAGAAGAAAAAAATGAGATAAGGGCCATAGTAGTGTTTTTAAAACCACATAACATGGTAGTTTCTTATTATTATGTTTATTATAGCATCTTGAGGTAAATGAGTCAAATTTTACAAATGAGATTCTACATGCAAGAAATTTTGAATTTCAGTATGTGAGATAGTGGAAAGGAATTCTAAGAAGCTTCTGTGCAGGTCACCATTCCTTGAACTAAATCCAAGTGTAAATTTATATGCCAGTGTAGGCATTAATTATGCAAAACTTATCAACCATTCTCAAATTCTATTTAAGATAGCCCATCATGATGGCCTTCAGTTCCAAATTGTGAAAGGTGCAAAAGAATCACCTAAGCTATTCCTTTAAAATGTGGATTCCCAGGCCTACTAGGATTGGAACTTAAAAGTCATTATTTTAGCATTTTAGAAGGTAATCTATTTATATCTTACAATGTGATAATCAAACTTGAGTAAAAACAGTGTTTATATATGTTACCCAGAGCCAGGTAAACATTCTAGAATCACAAATTCTTCTTATCCTCAAAGACTGTTGATGTCCTCCAATACCCATTCTCCCCCTCTTTATTTCTAATCTTTTACCCCAGAATTTTAGCTGAACACATGGTTACCCAAGCCTCCTCTGCAGCTT